GATCAATGCCAGTTCGGACTGAGACACCCACAGAGCCATGAGCCCATGAAGAAAGCCACCCGAGTGCAAACCACATCACGGGAAATGATTAAGCACCTAGATGGTAGAACATGTCCCAAAGAGCACAGTCACTGTCCAATTGCAGGAAATTGCCAACACCAAGGAAGAACATTTGCCCTGTCAAGGTTTGCAGCATTCTATCCACACACGTTAGCTCGAAAGGCAGCTAGAGGTATATTGTTCGAAACCCAAGATCCAGATTGTCCCATTGTTGAAGCCTCAACCGCAATTGAGCAATTGTGTCCTGTTCGTGATGCAGAAGAGCCTCCAGAAGGTGAGCCTGGATCAAAACGAAAGCGGGGTCAAGGCCCATTGGAAGACCTTGGAACTCGCAAGCGAGAACTTGAGCCATATGAACCATTTACAGTTTTGACTGGACAGCCGTGGACTGAAGTTATGGAAAAGCTTCAGACCCTTTTGCCGAAGTCCGGTGCACAGAACATCGACTTGGAGACTTGGCCAGGCAAACAACATTGCCAGATTCAGGATGTCAAAGAGATCAAAGCCATAAAGGGAGTAGAGAAATTCATGACAGGAAATTTCGCTCATTCGCACAGACAAACCATTAGTCTTTGTCGCAAGAGCCAAAGAATCTTGGATTTGGGGATAGAAGCATGGACAAAGTTGACCCAAGCCCAACAGAGAAGAAAAGCCATCCCGAGTCATATCATGATAACCATCTTTGGGAGAAACCCAGAAGAACTTGATGAGAATCAAGCCAAGTCTGAGTCGTCCCATGCCAGAAAGTCCTTGAGCCAAGAAGAGACAACCTCTTCAACAATTCGTAAAGTAGCAGCCGAAGAGAGATCAGCCGGAGAGCCTAAGCCTGAGGCCCCTGAAGAAGGCACACTAGTTCCCATACCCTCATGGATGCCAGTGACCACCATTAACTCAGGACCAAAATTTCTGGAGCTTAATAGCAAACAGCAGACCATGATTCGTACGATGCACAATAATCTTGGTCACCCTGTTGCTGAACGACTTAGTGAACACTTGAAACGACTGGGATTCACTGAAAGAATGGTTGAAGGAGCCCGCGACTATCACTGTCAGTCATGTGCTGAAAGAGTTCCACCCAAATTGACTACCCCCGGGAAGCTTAAGGAACCACGAGAATTCAATGAAAGAGTGGCACTAGATGGATTTGAATGGAAAGGACAAAAAGGGAACAAGTACTATGTCCTACATTTCTTTGATGAGGCAACCCACTTCCACCTTGGCAGACGCACTCAGAGAAACAGTGAAAGCACGATTCGAACCATGAATGAGACCTGGACACATTGGGCAGGTTCCCCTCAAGAAGTACAGCATGATGAAGCAGGTCAATTTGTAAGCCAACCATGGAAAGATTTCTTGCAACAAGAAGGTATTCGATCCATTGTAAGTGCAGCACCCTGGCAAAGAGGTCGTATAGAAAGGAATGGGGGAGTAATTAAGGAAATGCTTAGTCGCATTGACCAGGAGAAACCAATCCAAAACGAGAAACAGTTCGACCTTGCATTGCACCAATGCTTCCAAGCCAAAAACAGTTTGACCATTGTCCAAGGGTTTAGTCCTGAACAAGCAGTGTTAGGTAAATCACGCCGATTGCCTGCATCGATTTGTGGTGATGAGGACTTCACGGCACATTCGATAGATCAACCACAAGACACAAGATCTGAAGAGTTCTTACAAAAGATGCAAATTCGGACCCTAGCCAGGAAAGCTCTCCTAGATGCTGATAATAGCCAAGCAATCCGCCGAGCAGTGAACCATCAATCCAGAGGACAAGAACATCCATGGAGATGTGGAGAGTTATGCATGGTTTGGGACAAGAGAAAATCACCTAACATGCTGGAAAAAGGGAGATGGACTGGCCCATGCCAAGTCATTATGGAAGAAAGCCGAACAATCCTTTGGGTAACCCACATGAACAGATTGTTGAGAGTAGCCAGAGAAAACATTCGACCGGTCTCAATTAGGGAATTCAATAGAGTGGCCACATTTCATCAGAATTGCGAGGAAACCAAATTAAAAGCAATGGCCGACCAGCTAAAGAACCAGTTGAAGGAAAGAAGTGGAATGTTCCAGTTTTCTGACTTGACCGAACTCGAGATGAATCCAGAAACAACCGAAGGAACTAATGGACCGCAGCCTGAAGAAGAACCTCATCGAAGAGATTCGGAAGCAGACATTCCGTGTATAGAGCCAGTTAGTCCAAATCCCGAACAAGAGCCGACCAGTTCTCCGGTGTCCCAAACACCGTCAATTGCAGAGCGTGCAGCCGAGTCCGAAGAGCCTCGAGGGAGTGATCTTAGGGGTATAGAAGATCCTAATGGGGAAGAAGGTAATTTTGAATCAAGAGGGGATTCAACTAACTTCACATAAGAAGTACACAATGTGAGCATTGTAGAAGCTAATGATCCAAACGCAGTCACAGCGAAAGATAATGGAGCATTGTGGCCGTGCAGTGAAGACATCACAATGCAAGATGCCAATTTTTGCATGTTTGAGTTCGATGTCCCATCCAAGTTTCTGTCCGCATTTTGCGTCCAACCATGCCTACATGTCGACAATTTAGTTCAAGCTGCAAAGAAAAATCGTGTTGAGGTAGTATACAAGCATTTAAGCCCAGCAGAGAAAATTGAATTCGAACAAGCCAAAGCCAAAGAGTTAGATTGTTGGGTTAAGACATCATCCATAGAGCCACTACTGAGAGACAAGATCCATCCCTCCAGGATAATGTCCTCAAGATGGATTCTGACATGGAAGATAGATCCAACTTCACCACAGGGAAGAAAGGCAAAAGCCCGGTTAGTTGTCAGAGGTTTTGAGGACCCCGATGCAGCTTCTGTGAGCACTGAATCACCGACTCTCTCCCGGGATGGTCGGATGATAATACTTCAAGAAATAAGCAGTAGAGGGTGGGAATTGCAGAGTTTCGACATCAAAACTGCATTCTTGAGGGGGCGTTCAGATGAAAGGGTCCTTGCCATGCAACCGGTACCAGAACTACAAAAGCTGCTCCGCTTGAAACCAAACGAGGTTTGTCTCCTAAAGGGAAATGCCTACGGCAGGGTGGATGCACCCCTTTTGTTCTACAAAGAGCTTAGGAAGAATCTAGAGGAAGCAGGTTTTCAAGCACATCCACTTGACGCATGCATGTTTTTGCTTCGCAATCCCAAAGATCCAAGCAAATTAGAAGGAATTTTGGGCACACATGTTGATGACGGAATTGGAGGTGGAACTGAAATGTTTGAAAAAGCACTAGAACAAATCCAGAAGAAGCTTCCATTTGGACAAAGGGAATACAAGAAATTTCGATTCACAGGGCTTGATATTGAACAACATCCAGACAACTCAATACAAATCAGCCAAGCAGAATACATCCACAAGATAGATCCTATAGATGTGCCAAAACCCAGACGAAAAGATGAACATGCAGAGATAACATCATCCGAATTGCACCATCTACGTGGTCTATGTGGAAGCTTGCAATATGCCGCAGTGCCTTCAAGGCCAGATCTTGCAGCCAAAGTGGCATTCCTTCAGAAACGAATCCCCAAAGCAAAGGTGAGTGATTTGATGCAAGGAAATAAGATATTAAGAGAAGCCAAGAATACAGCTGAAACCTCTATTCGAATACAACCAATCCCAATAGATCAAGTCACTTTTGCAAGTTTTGGTGATGCCAGTTTCGCTTCAGAAAGCCAATTGAAGGCTCAGCAAGGCCTATTCGTCATGGCCACGACCAAACGACTTGGACAAAACGAAACATCAGAGTTCTCTCCACTGGCTTGGGGTTCAAAACAAATTGCAAGGGTTGTTCGGTCAACATTGAGTGCAGAAGCCTATGCAATGTCAAGTTCACTTGACAAGCTCACTTGGATTAGATGCTTATGGGGTTTTGTCAATGATCCTCAGTTCCAATGGCAGAAGCCGGAGAAAGCATTACAATCCCAACCAAAAGCTCTCCTTGTGACAGATTGCAAGTCATTGTTTGACTTAGTAACAAAATTAGCAATACCCAACTGCCAGGAATGGAGGACCACGATAGAGGTCATGCAGATCAAAGAGCAAGCTGAGGGGAATGCTCAGTGTCGTTGGATTTCGACTGCAATAATGCTAGCCGATTGTCTAACTAAACCAATGGATTCAAGTTTCTTGAGAAAGGTCCTGGCCATCGGACGGTTCCGAATTTTTGACGAGACCCGAACTTTGAAGATAAATGCAAATAGGAAATTCGGCGAAAGATGGGCAGAAGGATTCAGGAATGAAGCAACCGATTCATATTGAAAAGAAAAACAGAACGTGTGTGAATTGGATCCTAAGGAAACCTTCTCATGAATCGGCAGTTCGAATCGACACCAGCATCCGAAGCAGTTCGAACTACGCCATCAAATGATGGCTCAAGGTGACGAGGCAAGAGGACTTAGCAGGACATAGGAAAAAAGGGGCGCGGACGCTCGGAAGGGGACTTCCCGGTAGGTTTTGGTAGGAGTTTGTTAGGTAGAGGGCTACCAGTGTGGTTCCAACTGGAATCACATATATATATATATAATATATTATATATGGGGGGCATGACATGTTCATCTCCCACCAACACTACACTATACTGCAGTATACCGTATACCACCATAATTTTTGACTCATCGTTGTTGCTTGTGCTCGCTAGCGCATACCTAAAGGTGGACCCGGCAATCTCAGCCACGAGGACCAGTCCAATTTATCTACATCGCAACAAAACATCTTGCTGGAAAGCTGTTGGTTTGAGGGAAGCAACATCAAGCCATATACATAAGAGAAATGAATGTTCAGCAACAATGTGCACAGTCAAATTGCATAGTGTGTGGGTATGTTTTGAACATTTCACAACCAAGCCGAAAGTCTTCCTGTCGCATGGCCCATGGCCACCCTGGCTTCCTTTTCTCCCCATGGCCCCCCGGCCCCAATCCTCTCGCCTTAGAGTAGCGAGCTTCTGGGCCCTGGCTGATGGCAGGAAGCGAGGACGAAGAAGAAGAAGCGTCCGTGGCGGCCTCCTGGACGTGACCATCGGCCAAAAAGGATTCACCATGAAGTTATGAAGTTGGGGTGAAGTCGGAGATTCTCTTAGATGAGGGCTTGGAGACTCACAGTGGATACTGGGCAACATCTTCGACACTTGGGATTTGTGCAAACTTCTGAAAGGATTTGCAGGTTCAGTTTGGCTTTTGCTCGGGTGCATACAAAATCCTTGGGATTGTAGAACTGGCTACTGCTCTACGATGTGCACCCTGCAGCAACACATGTGGCATCTATCAGTCTTCATCTTGCTTCATTGCTTCCTGTATCCAGCGGCCCTCAGGCCAAGATGACAGCAATCACTGGCAACATGGAAACCGCTTCTATTCTTCGTTTGATTCTATACATGGGGGGGAGCCAGCACGTTGCGCACCAACCAATGCTCCATGGTATCTTTGCCCGGATTTTGCATGCAATCTCTGGATTGCTATTGCTAGGTGCAGCCATCCTAGGAGCTCCAAGCAACCAGAAAAGTCTCCAACCGTCCAATTTGCTGCACATCTGCCTCTCGCAATGAAAGGGTTTTCCTCGCACCATGAGAGGTTTTATGTCCCAGGTGTGTGCCCACTCGACTAAACCCCACCGTATCGTCCCCAGCAGTGGATTGAGAAATTGGACACCATAAATATTCTTGGGCCTCTGCAGGGGAGCCACATGCTAGCTTGTTCCCCAACAGCTGCAACCCATTCCAAAGCCCTTTTAAGGACGAATCTTGGGGGCAAATCCAAACCCAGCTCCACGAATTCGGAAGTCCATGCACTACTGTTCTGTGATGGTCAAACTAGAACCCGACAGATGATATGTGGGTCATATACACACACAGCAGGACAAGTGGTAGACCCTCAGACCTTCAATCCAAGAGTCAGGAGGTCTTACCCACACAACACTCTGAAGATCTTCCCCGGCCTTGTCTTCAGTGCTCAGGTGCTGCTCTGCCTTTTGCTGTTGATCGCTGGCATCCTGAAGTGAAGCTTGGAGAAACATCACATGTCTCGCTCAAAGAACAGGTCTGAGCTTTTTGCACAGGTCTGACGGTCTGAGGTTCCGTCAGACGGTCTAAGCTTCAAAAGTACAGCTCTCTTCAATGGTGAGGCACCAAGTCAAGAGGCCAAGAGGCCAGGGGAAAGGAATCGTTCAGCACTAGCCAAGCACCGAAGCGTAAAAAGAGAGCTCATCCACTGTCCCACAACTGTCTCGAACGCACTACCAGTGGTACTCTTCTTCAAACAGGACTGGCCCTGCTCATGTCGTTCCACTCAGATTCCTTAGGCATTGCTTCGTCTGCTTCGATAAGACTGTAAGCTTTGCTCGGGGCAGCAAAAATGGACGCCAGTCTGCTCTGCCTGCTCTGCCATCAACAAGCCGAAATCACAGCTTCAGGTTTGCCAAAAAAAGACTGGCAACCGGCGGCCCAGTTTTCAAGCCAGTGTCCTTCTTCCCTCTTCTTCCCCCCAAACCAAGGTTGCAACCTTAAAGCTTTGTGTCGCTCAATATGGGTGGGTCAAGAGCTCAACCTCAAAAGCACAGCATATTCCTTAGAAGCCTTGTCTCTTCTCTTCGTCTATTCTGTTCAACTGGTCGGTCTCGCGGTGTGACTCGCCATCAATAAAACTCCAAGGTCTCCACGGAGAAGTCTCCCGGAACCCATCGCCGGCTCGGCGCCTCGCTGCAGAGCTCCTCCAACTGCAGCGCCTCGCCACTGATGTGCCACCACGCCGTAGAGCCTGGTGACCCGCCGTCGTTGCGCATGGGGAAGCGGGTGGTGTCAATGCAGTCGGCGATGTGGTGGGAAGCTGAGAGGTTGTAACCACCACCTGATGACCATTTGGAAGTGATTTGGAAGGTCAAGGGCCCATCAAGCCTTGGATCATCTGATTCCATTGACAAGTATCAGAAATATGTCTGCCGAGGAGGGGCTTTCAGCAGATCCACAACTAGAAATACCTGAAGCCGTGAAAATACCTGAAGCCATACCAAGAAACTTTCCCAAACGAATGCAAGACTTCGGCACAAAGGCATCACTTGAACTACTGGCGGTCTTACCCAGCGTCCAGGCCAATGTGATGTGAGGTCTTGGCCATCCACCCAAGCGGAGCTGCCAACCAATAGCTACTGTACACAAGGAATTCCGCACCTCGAAACCATCCAACTGATGGACTTGACGTAAACCATGCAGCCTCACGCCCAGAAAAACCACTGGCATTGTTGTGGGAGACCTTGGGATGTAGTCCTCCCGTGTGAGCCAGTGGACCCGGACCAGTCGGCTTCGCGTGAAGCACAAGATACATCCCCAATCTCGGAGAAACACCACACCTGCACTGCAGCCACGCACTTGGTCATGATAACACCAACGATCACAGCTTCCAATCAGCTCCCTATAACGGCCAAAGACTCGGCCAGTGGCCAGAAGGGCCAGCTTTTGCACTCCTGGCACACGCCAATCTGTTGAGTTCAGCGTGCAATGGATCTCCACTGTGTGGCTTTCACAGTGCTGCGATGGTGGATCCTTCGTCGTTTTCCCACTGGCTGGAGCATCCACAATGAACAAGAAATGAAAGAGCTCTGAACTCAAAGCATCCAGATGTTGGTCCCCCTCTTGATGTTCAGAGCTGAGCACCTCGATCTCCAAAGGTATAGGTCTGCAATAGGCAGAGACTGAAGCCTCCTCACTAAGCCCACAAAGGCACCACACGCCACAGATTTGTTCACACTCCTCCTCCCTCATATGCACAGGCTCGCGGAGCTCCAGGAAAGGGCCAGCGGGAGTCAAGCTACAAGGCCGATTAGGAGATGACGACATGGCGCCCAATCGCAGAAGAGAGAAGAAAACACAAAAATTGGCACATTGCTCTGCTGGATGAAAAAAGAACGAACAACCAACTATCCTGGCTCGCGGCCAGTATGGTAGAAAGCAATTAGACATCTCTCAAGGCTGGGGGCTTCATCTTCCGCAAAAAAGGCAACATCTCTGAGTGGTTTGCCACTGTGCAACTGGTTGAACCACTCGCAGTGGTTTGCCGGATCCGTGGCCAATCTTTTCTCAGTCGACAGAGATCAACATTCTGTACCGAACCTGTTCATTCAGTTCAAACTAAAGAATATATCTGCTGCCCCGACCTGGGCAGGTTTCGACAAGAAAATCACGCTTGTTCAGTGCCACTGGTATTTCATCGTTTGTTGCATGGATAGCATGTACTCTTTAAAACATGGGACAGGAGACTTCCACGTCACTCACAGCTTGGCGACTTCCAGTCAAACTACCAGGTGGAACTGATCTCATGTGCAGTAGATATAGTAGATGTACTACCAGGGTGAACTTACCTTTCAAGCCTTCTTGCACATTGTTTGCGCTGAAGGAGGCTTCATGTGATTCTGACAGGTGGAATCTCCACTCGGTAGAAACCGCCCATGGTCAAGAGGCGAAGCTGGCGTGAAGCTGGCCGCCTTTCCGATGACGCCAGCAGACTGTATGATTGGAACAACAGCCAATTTTAATTGAAAGTGCGCTAGGCTACTTGTCCATGGATGTCAAGGTCTTCCAAGAGCTTCTGGAGTCGCACCCGGGTCGTTTTGAGGGTTCTCTTCTATGAGCTTAGTAGAGCATTCAAGCGATAGACGAGATCTGTGGCCTTGATAGTGAGCACATGCCCATGGCCCAACCAAAAGATCTTCTCAAGATCACTGAAGCGAGCTAGGCTAGGGTTAATCCAGGAATAGCTTTCAGTGAGACAACCAGCAACTTATGTGGATTCTGCCCATTCCATTGCAATCCCAGTGTCATGACCATCCGCCGAATACCAGCAAGTCGGACCCAACCAAGTTCACCTATTCATAGGAGAAAGGTGTTCATCACAAGAACCTCTGATGTGGCACAGTTACGTGGGTTTATTGCACCACCCCACGAGCTCCCACGGCTCCTTGGCTATCTCTATCTGCTTCACCTGCTCAGCATGTTCATCTTCCGCGTGCCCAGCGTGCTCCGTGCTTTTGAGGGCACGAAGCTGAGTCGCAGCCAGAGCGCAAGCATCATCTCCAATAAGGCACTCCTCAGCTTGAAGTGCAGTGCTGACTCTCGAATCTCCACGGTTGGCAGATTCTGCCACATTTGTGGCGAGCTGCATGGCGACAAACACTGACGACACAATGCTACATATACATGACCCCTTGCGCCAGGCACCGCTGACCCCTTGCCGCGCACCACGCGCACCAAGTCGCATCGTCCGCAGCGATGATGCCGGCGGCAACACTCAAAGTTGCTGAGCAAAGAGCGGTGCACAGGATGAACAAATCATGTCGAAGCAACATCGCTTTAATAAGCAAAATGAAGAATGAAAAATCTTGGCGAATCTGTTAGCCTCACAAATTCCATATAGAGTGATGCCCAAAGAGTTAATGGAACAGTTCTGCAAAGTGCATTAAAGGATATCAAAGCACATGACAATTTTCTGGCCATGGACCTTCGTGCAAGGACTCTGCCATGCTTGTGAAGCAGTCCTTTTTCTGTTCATCGGCACGGAAAGCTGCAAGATTGTTTACGAACACATTTCGCCGACGCAAATCCAATCCTAGGAGTTGTTGATTCAAAATCATTGCAGTCCGAGTCCCCCAAAGGCACGAATAGAATCTACATTATATAACATTGTACATGCTTATATATACAACATCAAATCTTGGGTGCCTGTTGCTCCTGGAGGGTGAGCCAGTATGACAATATGGAATGTGGAACTATGAGTTGTCAAAGATTGGACGAAACTGGAACGAAACTGGATGTTACTTCTAGTAACGTCGACTCAGTCTGGACGCATTCTCCGAGCGGCTGTTCCAGTTCTCTCAGCGGCTGTTCTCTCTAGCAAGTTTGGGCTGCCAACAATTTGACAAGTTTTGGTACTAGTCACTGTCGGGAAAGCAAACACCACTCGCTACAGGTGAAGATCCGCATCTCCATCCGAATCCAAATGGTACAACTGGACCGGGATGATGTCACACGCTTGCTTGGGGCTTAGGAGATTGGTTCATGAAATCAAGACTTTTTAGCATAGACGTAAGTAGGCCAAACAAGGGGGATGGCCGAGCCCGGTCAACTCTGGCTCTTGTCAAACTTCTCTTTCCAGAAAGGGCTTCGGTGCAATGACGGTCTTCCCTCACACACACGCACACACAAGAATAAAACCCTCAGTCAAAGCCCTCCACTTCGCCTTGGTTGAGAAATCACCCCGTGTCTTCTGGCAAAGAGTTGCTTTGATAGACTCGATAGACAACTCACACTTCAGGGGTGAGGGAATCACCCCTGGGCCCATCACCTCCAGCAGCATGGCGAAACTGCTTGTCTTTCTCGCCTCAAATGCCAGGTATGGCATCCCAAGCTGCTTGCTGAGCTTTGCGAGAAGCTTTGATCTCTCTAGGCATCCTCTTTGAAGGGCTTCCAGAGACATTTGATCTCGGGCTTGATGCAACGGATCCACTCCCGACACTTTGGGTAGGGCGGGTGAAGCCGCTGAAGCTGTGATCTCCGACAGTTCGACCGTAGATGTCACACCATCCAGAACCTTCCACATAGAACAAATCCGACTCTTCAAAACCAGCAGGCTTGGGAGGCGGTGGCACAGGTGCCTGTGGCACCTCAGCTCCCTCCTTCAACAACCCCTTGGCCCTCAATGCAGCGATCCGTGTGGCCTCTGCTGGAGTAAGTTTGCTGGAGACGTGCTCATAGCTAGCCTCCAAGGCCCCAGATGGCTCTTCACGGCTACGAGCCGGAAGATCAAACTGCACGACTTGTCGAACTGTCACCTCTGGCCCTGCCATCTCCAGCTCCGGAGCGATCGGCGCCACGGGGGCACTCGGAGCCTTTGCAAATGCCTCTCGAAACTCCTCCGGAGTCGGAGTGGGTGGCCGTTCGTCCCCCTCCTCCAGCGCTCCACGCACGTGGCCATCCGGCAGCGCGGCGCTGTGCTCAGAGCGCGGCGTTCCGGGCGTGTCGGGAGTGTCGCCGGCCGCGGCCGCTCCCAGACGGAGACCCCCACGCAGAGCAGCCGCGCTGGGGGCTTCACCCAAGTACTCGGCCAAGACAGCAGGGACCTTGGTGGAGCTGAACGTAAGCCTGAAGAGCAAGACCCAACAGTTCAGTGTACAATCCAGTTGGCAACAAGTCAACAGGTAGAACATGTTTCAGCTCTGAATGAGCCCATCGGACCATGTCTAGAGTAGAAACCAATGCTTACCCCTCAGCACCCTCATTCGCATCCTGCTTGTTTCACTCATGAGAAGCACAAATTTGTGTGAGAAAGCAAGGAGTGGAACGACCAGAAAGCCCAAAAGCTGAATAGTCGATCAGGATTGATCAGGGCATTGTAGACATTGTAGGCACCCATATTATAGACACTTAAAACAAAAATAAAGTGGTCACCACCATGTCACCACATCAAGTTGGACACCCCTCTTCTCCTCCGCATCTCCCATCTGCATCTGCACTGCTTCTGGCTTCACTCGTGCCTCTCGCGCCCGTGCCTGCTGTGCCTCCCGGGCCTGCTGCGCACAGCGCTGGAGTTCTTCCTCCGAGGCCTCCTCTGGCGCCAGCAGCAGCTCCACGAGCAGCGGAGGTGTTGGGCCGTCAATGTGCACAGAGAAGGTCCCCCCGACGACTCGAGACGCCGCAGCTTGGGCGCGCAGTCGAAAGGCTAAGGTCTCACCAGGCGGCAGGACGGTGCTTTCTTGATGGCAGCCCAGCTCCAAGAGGAAGGGATGATCCAGATCGATCTGCAAAACCAAATCGCCTCCGTTGCCAAGCGGCGAAACTGGTGGCTGCTCGGTTTTTGTCAGGTCAATGCTCCTTGTCCGAAACCCTCGGTCTCGTCCGCCCACCCCACTTAATCCAAGGCAGCCAAGGCACCTTTGGAGATGTTCCGCAGCAGCAAATTGCGCGTGCTGCCAGGTGTAAAGCGCAAGCGTCTTGGCACCGCATCCAAAAGGTGTTGCGCCATGGCCGAGGCGCTGGTTCCAGGACAGCGTCTCACTTTGGTGAGCTCTGAAGCTGATTCTGTGTCCCAAGTGAGTTTAAGTCTTTTGAGTCTGGGTGAACCTGGTTGGTTGTTTAGGTCCATTTCCCTCGATGGTCGGAAGAACTCACTACGATCTAGCTGTATGGAAGGATACGTTGAACAACTTTGGCGGTCATCACATCGCACTGTCGCACCTATACAGAAATGAAGTACAAACATGAAGGACCTACATTTAAAAATACTTGTTATACACATACATACATACATACATATATTCACATTGATTCAATGGCTTCTATGCCTTCTCTTGGAAGGATCTATCTTGAAACTAGAACACATTCACATGTATGATCGATCCTCCGAGTGTCCATAAGTTGTGCTTCTGATCTCGGCCCAAGAGCCCTGGACCCTTTGTTAACATGGGCTTTATTGCCTTTTCATCTATATATGTCTCCTCTTGAGACACACCCAATCTGGGCTGCTGCAGCCAGAAGTGGCACAAGTCAATGCCAGCAGCATCCCCTTCCGATCAAAAGGCAACCGCTGGGAGCACGTACCACTTGAGGGGTGTAACCCACCCCAGAGGTCCCCTGAGTCTGACGGAGAAGCGATGAAATCCCAACCTTGCTGCGTTCTAGTCCACGAAGGATCCCTTTGCCGACTTCAGAACCACCCCAGTCCGACTTACCGAATCATACACTCTCATCTCATGGTCAGTCCGATATCAAGATCTCTTCACTGCTCTTTTGGTTTCACTGCTCCCAGTTCGGATCGCAAAAAAAACTGAAGCCATTTCAACTTCCATTTCAGGATCCCTTTGATATTGTATGATATTGCTTAGGGATTTTCACCTCCAGGGGTGGGCCCTCCGATCTCTTTGCCTCTTTGCCTCTGATGCCTCCGATTCCGCGCGGCCTCGCCACCGCAGAGGATCGCTGCGCAGAGGATCCAACCGGGCGAAGGAAGATTCGCCGCCCTCGTGCACGTCTGAAGGCTGGCAGGCTCTTCTCCCTGCCACTTCAGACGGAAGACCTCATGGCCCCGACCAAGAAGGACGGAGCATTTACTGAGGCGAAAAAGCCGCGACTTGGGCAGATGAGCCGAAACCTCCTCTCGCAGCCCGGCTTGTTCCCAGAAAGTGCCTAAGTCGGTCGTCACTAGCTCCACCGAGATGTGAAGGATTCACTACCAGGAACATCTGGTGCTCCGGCACCAGATGTTTCTTTGGCTCAGCCCTCTAAGCCCATCTGCCCGCAAAAAATGATATGCGCAAAAATGATCTGCGCAACTCCTCGCTGAATGCAGGTCAAAGGTCTAACAAAATGGCAAACTACTACTGATTCATGGCCTCGAGTGGACTAGACTGGTCAAACTAAAGATGTGGTGAACACTGTTGCTCTTCACTGGCCTAGGGTGTTCTGGCCATACCCCTGTGGCCTCCAACGCCCTTTTTCACCATGAGTATGATACATCGCCAAACCCAGGACTTCAGACACACTAAGGACATAGCAAGTCTTTGAGGCTTGGGTGGGTCCATCATTGAGTTATCATGAGTTTTCAAACATTTGATAGGTACTGTACCGCCCTCCTCCAAAATGTGCCAACGTGTCCCAAGGTCTTCCATTCCTGAAAGCTTTTGTGGCATATCAGTGTTGGTACGAATCAGCTCTTTCTTCTGGGAATTTCGGTAAATGCTGGAGACTGGGTTGCTTCTTCTGCATCCGTTGCGTGCAAGAGTCGCCATGCAAAAATGGCCGTTCGTTCAGTAGTTTCTGAACGGATGCCGATGGTCGAACTAAACTGTCGACGATCAGCAAATGCATTTGAGCATTGAGTTTGACCTCAATCTCCTGTCCAGAAAAAGGATCGCTGGAGCGCAGCTCCGGCCTCCACAGATTCTTGATTTAAAATTTAGATGGTGTCTTCCGAAAAACTAAAAATCATGGTCTTGAGGAAGAAACAAACCATTGCCAAACAAAGACAACAAGCAGAAAGCCACAACATCAAAGGAACCGATATACCAACCAATCAGTCCACTTCTTTGACCTAAGAATCCGCTAGAACAACGAGGCAGCTCAAACATGCTCAAAGTGATGCAACTTGTTGTGGCACATGATTCGTTTTGTTTGGGCAGCTGTTGTACTATGTGCAGCGGAGTTCGTCTGCGGGCCACTTGGCGAGTCTGCAATACGTCCGCAATCGTAGGTATATGCCCACTGGAAAGACTTTCCAGCTGGGCCGTTTCCAAAGGTAGCTTCCAATTTCTGGGACAGGACAAGCATTCTCAAGCTCCTCAGCTCGAAAATTCCGCACAAAGAACACCTGGATGCCAAAGAGTGCCAAAGGAAAACCACGAACCGACCTGATCCTCTTTGCTTTTGGACCCCTTTGTTGGACCCCCTTTGTTGGACCCCTGAAGGAGTCAAGCCTCTAATGGCTCTAATTGGTTTCCTGTTCACAAGGCGGCGAGTGTTTCACATGGACACGAGATCGGCCTAGATCCGACGTGACCCACGGTCGGTGCTGCGCACCCAGAACATGCACGGTCGGCAAATGACCGCTCGGGGTCGTTGGGATGCCAGATTCCATGAAACGCCATCGAGTCGAAGAAACGTCATCATTGCCGAGTTTTGATTTTGATGGACCAAGATTGGGAACACATCCCCGAACTTTCTTTTTGCGGGTAATTGTTTGACCACCGTGCAGCATAGATGCTGGGTCTCGGTCCACAGATACGGCCGTCTTGGGGGCATTCCCCGACTGGAGTTGGTCTCTTGTTTTCTCTCTTCACCAACTGTTTCGATGGATAGGACGTGGACCTCTGTCTTTGATGTTCATCTATTTAGCATCCAGACGAGACCAATTAGAGCACACGCAGTCGCGTGTGTCGCCAAGAACTGGCCGAAACCTGCCGGAAGGGCGGGCGTCGTGGGGGCCAAGGGGGGTGTTGATGTCTGGGGATTCTTTCCTGGTTGGTGGTTTCATGGATTGGTTCAATCACACCAACTAAAGGTTAAGTTAAACATATAAACATCTGAAACCCCCACCCACTTTCCCATTTCGGAAGGGTCAGTGTGACCTTGCCAGGTTTTGTAGAGTCTGTAGAGCATCAAAAACCCAATGCAGTTTGGAACCACAATGCAATTTTTTCCTGGACACGATCAAAAGAACCGTCAGACCCTTTTCAAACAATGATCCTTGCTAAGCACCCTCCACCAAAACGAATGAGAAAGTCTTGGAGAGCTTTGGGATGGTTTGGATCTGTCCTGCATTCCGCACACCACGCGCACACCACGGAGTTGTTCACCGCCCGGTCTCACCAGTCTATGTGTCGACAGCTAGTTTTGGCGAATTAGCCTGTACAACAGCTAATCGAGAAACATTAGGCAAACGACCAACATTCAAAAATAATTTGATCGACACTTGTGCCGCTTGACACGGATTGCTTCAGCCCAAACATGACACAGTGTGTAAGCGAGATGCGAAGCTAGGAACCCATGCGTTTCTTCGTTTCTAAGTGCGACAATCGTTTCTTCTCAATCCGTTTCGGCCCGCCTGAAATGAATGTCAGCATCTCGCCACCTCGCAACATTACTGTCAATCTTTGTGAAGACTTATCAGTGACTTATCCCCCTATTCATATCGGTTCATCCCCTTGCTCCGCTCGCAGAAAGCCGTGGAAGGATGTTTTTTTTGGGCTCGCAATTCACCAGCGGCTGCAGCACTTTTGGCAGCCAAAGCACAAACTTGTTCATGGTCCCAACAATCGGAACTGAAGGTCAAGCCAACGTCCTGTGTGCTGACAAAGCCGCTGCCAGTCACGAATGGTGCAGGACTGGGAGCTACCCCAGCTCGAAAGATTGCCCCTGACAGCTGTGTAGAGTCAAAGAAGATCAAGGTATCGATCACAGCCAGGGGAGCGTTCAAAACGCCTGCTGACAGAAAGTTAAAAGCAAGAACCTCGCAGTTCGAACCATGAGTCCAAGTGTTTGTAAGCGGACTGCCAATGTACTCGCCAATGCTAAGACCAACGGTGTTCGAACGCACTTCAACCGAGGTCGCTGGTGTGATCCCACCGCATGAGAGTCCACGGATGATACCGCTAACCACTCCTCCACCATTCAATGCGTTCCTCAGAGTGGCGGCTTCTTGGCCAAGAAACAAAAACAACATGGGCCCAAAGCCTGCTGCAGTGCGCTGGGTCCCTGGGTGGAAAGGAACCTACAGTTCCTCACAAGCGCAAAAACAAGTAAGCAAACCAAAACGAGTGCCCGTCAGTAGGTGAACTGAAGTGGAGGTGGCGTTGGCGCTTCACCTACAGGCAGTTGAGAATTAGTTGTGGTTGAGGCGCTGGCAGTTGTGGCGGTACATGCTGGACATGTGGTCCAAGCAAGTCTTTGGGGACGTTACCCGTGCGCAATGGTCCTTGCCAATTGGAGTTCGGTCTTGGCTGGGCTTTCCTTTTACGGGAGCTGGAGGTCTTGGAAGCGGCAGTTACCGTGTTCCTGGTGGTTGCCAACGAGACAGAACATCACCTTGCACAGCGCCTGGCTGAAAGTTAGAAGGCGTGGGCATGGCTGCAATTGGCAGATCGGGAACAATATTGCGCTGTTGGAGGGACAGGCGCCGAAGGCGCTGGAGGCGGTCCGGTCTGTAAACAGACACACTCGGCTTTCCTTTTACGGGATTCCTTGCGGAACAGGCCATTCGTCCGATCAAGCTGCAAAACGATCATTGTTGCCACTTTCTTCTTTCTTCCACTGTAGGCGTGGTCCTGCATCTTATAGCTGCTGGCTTCTTCTTTTCCTGGTGGCTAAACTTGAACTGTATCTTCTCAAAACGACGGATCTCATCATTGGCTATGCCAACTCCAGCGTTTGCAAACTTTGGGTAACGTGTCGCCATGCGTCGCTCAACATTCAAAAACTGAAATTCACCAACGATCTTCTGCGGTTGTCCTCTGGTCGCGCTGACCAACGCTGTCTTAGAAGAAAAAGAGCTTCTCCTCTCTTATAACCAACCCTGTGTCCTCCTCTTGTCC